TATAGGAATATCCTGTACAGAAGACTACAGAAGAGGCGGATACAAGACCAGTCACTTTGCACAAGAAAAGAGAGCAGCAGTGACCAGTCTTTATTATAGGAATCTCCTGTACAGAAGACTACAGAAGGGGCGGAGACCAGACCAGTCACTTTGCACAAGGAAAGAGAGCAGCAATGGCCAGTCTTTATTATAGGAATCTCCTGTACAGAAGACTACAGAAGAGGCGGATACAAGACCAGTCACTTTGCACAAGGAAAGAGAGCAGCAGTGACCAGTCTCTATTATAGGAATCTCCTGTACAGAAGACTACAGAAGGGGCGGAGACAAAACCAGTCAATTTGCACAAGGAAAGAGCAGCAGTGACCAGTCTCTATTATAGGAATTTCCTGTACAGAAGACCACAGAAGGGGCAGAGACAAGACCAGTCACTTTGCACAAGGAAAGAGAGCAGCAGTGACCAGTCTCTATTATAGGAATCTCCTGTACAGAAGACTACAGAAGGGGTGGAGACCAGACCAGTCACTTTGCACAAGGAAAGAGAGCAGCAGTGACCAGTCTTTATTATAGGAATCTCCTGTACAGAGGCAAAGTTTCATGCTGGATTACTGCACGGATCTGGAGGAAATACAGAAAGTTTGGCTTATAAAATTATTGTTCTCTTCACAGGCGGATCTAGTACAGAGACAAAAGAAATAATGTGAAGGATGGTAGGTAAAAAAAATGAGTGGACATTGCTAGAAATATTCTATTACATTTAGGCCCAACTGCAGGCTTATAAAGAATGATCCCTTGCAGTGCCGACACTGCAAGGGTGAATTCCTTGTTTATATCTAGGGGAAAAATAAAAGGGGATTTACTTACTTGCTCCTTTGCTTCTCCACGCAGCTAGACTGGTCCCCACAGCATCTGCACCCCCATGTTCCACCGGTCTAAGGTTCTGATGTCACCAAGACTAGAGCAGGGTGCATAGCCATGCGCTAGATGTGAGGATGACGTGGAACAGCTCACTGCGCGATCGTGAAGGGGGAGCACTGCTTGCCAGGGGAATGGAGGATCAGGTAAGTAAAACTCTTCTCTTCCCTAAACAAAATGAGCAATTAACCCTTTGCAGTGCAGGCATAGTTCCTCTGCAAAGGATAATTTTTGTACTTGTTCAGTGTTGGGCTTTAAAGTAGACCTAAACAGTCATTAAAACGTCACATAAATGTTAAACATTTTAATGTCATTTCAAAATTTTTTTCAGTCTTCTGAAAGTGGTATTAACCCCCAAAGCAAACATTTATTATATTGCAGCTTACCAATTCGTAGATGTGATGGTTGCATTTGTTTTATTTTTTAGGCCTGCTTTCCTTCATTTTCACCTGTAAATCTGGCAGATGTAGCAAGGATGAGCCAAACCACTTACCACTGACAGGGGTGCTTACAATGATCATATAACTATATATATAAAAATCTTTATCCTAAAAGGAAAAAACTGTTGCTGTAACTGCTTATAAAGTATTAGCTGGGGTTTGGCTTCATTTAAATCTGCTAGTACTGTACATCTAACACTCCCCTCCCCCTAGAATGACAATGCTGCTGTCCAAAGCTGTCTCTGTTGCTCCTTCATCCAGAGTGGACTCTATTACAGGAAAGGTGTTACCCTAGGTTCACACCTAAGCATTTTCCTCTTTGCAGAAATGCACTACAGTCCACTTAACATGATTTCCTATGGGACAGTTTCACGTCTCCACGAAAAGGTCAAGGACTTTTTAAATTCAAAAAGTTTTTGGTTCTATAGACTTGAATGGAAAAGCTGCAGAAAAGCATGTAGTGCGTTTTTGCAGTGTTTGATGTGTTTTGCATTTTAAATCTGCATAGCAACAAGAAAAACGCATAAAAAATGCGTCAAAAACGCATGTATAAAAACGCATTGCAGAAACAGATAAAATGCAAACTCCATAGGTGTGAACCTAGCCTTACTGGCCGGAACACTGGGAAAAAAAAAAAAAAGAAAACGAATGCAACCACCACATCTAATTATTGGTAAACTGCAATATATCACATTTTTGGTTTTGGGTTTAATACCGCTTTAAATCTGCAGCTTCCATTAAAAGAACACTGAATGATCCTTCCATGAAAGTCATTGTTCAGCTGCTTCCTGTTATATCTCCCAGCTATGCTCCTGTAACTAGATGCCAATGAGACTTGCCCCATGGTATTCAGGTGTGAGGCAGTAGACTGTCCAACATCCACATATACCCAAGATTGTCCTCTCATTTCTCAATGCTGATCATTTTGGAGTATCCCATGCCCTAACCTGGGGTGGACTGACAACTCATGGGGCCCCCGGGCAATAGAGGATCATGGGACCCCTCTGTCCTTGACCACACTCAAATCACACCTAAAAAAGCCTATAAAAAGGTACCAGAGGCATTTCATGGGGCCCTCTACAGACCCTGGGCCCTCGGGCAGTGCCCGAGTGCTCGAATGGTCAGTCCGCCCCTGGCCCTAACTCTGCTCCTGTTAAAGTTTTCTACCAGCAATAAATCCTAAAAAGACAGCTCCAAGACTGTATTATTGGAGTGTAAATGAACTGGTGCTTGCAGGGATGGGTAGCCTCTGTACTTTTAGGGGAAAAAAACAGTTGTTACCAGTGGCCCCTTGGGGGGTATTCCTACATGTGTCAATGATTAGAACCTCCTTAGGGAGTATTCGGGTGGAACCTGTCCTATTTGAACCTCAGATATATAGAGTGTCCTTCTTGCTATTGGCACTCTTCATTGCCAAGTTTCTGCAATAGGGTTGCCACCTCATCCCTTTAAAACCGAACACATATTATATGATCAGATTCCGAGGCTGATTTAATTCAGATAAGGCATTGAGTTTATTTGCCACCTTAAACAGCCCCAGGACCTGTGTAATTAATACGCATTCTGTTTTAAAGGGATGTTGTGGCAACCCTATTCTGCAACAAGGACTGGGAATGCAGTGGATAGGCGTAGTCCTTGCACTATCCCTACTCCTCCAGAACTTCTCCCTAACTCTAAATACCTTCCGTGACAGGCAACCTGTCCCTACACAAACAATGTGCACCAAACGAGTGAGCCAGTGTCTTAAATAAGCACTGCCCTCATCAAAGATGGCCGTAGAGGTCAAGTAAGGTACCAGCGTCCAATTGGACAGCTGCGTTCCTGATGACCACAGGAAGTCTTAGAGGAACTAGGTTCCCTACAACCTCCTTCCCCTTCTGCATTGCTGCTCAAACCTAGCACCACCTACAGAGGGGAGTACAGACTGCACCTGCCTACACACTGCATTTCCTTCTCTCCTTGTCCACACATTCTACACAAACTGCTCATAGCTTTCTCAAAACACCAATTGCCCTGTCTTTATTGTCATCACTTTTTGAACTGCAGCCATTGAGCAAGCACTGTACATAGCAAATCTGCATAATTATTCCCAGGGGCAGACTGACAACTCATGGGGCCCCCGGGCAATTGGGGATCATGGAGCCCCTGTGTCCTTGCCCACACTCAAAACACACCCAAGAAAGCCTATAAAAGGTACCAGGGGCATTTTATGGGCCCCCCTACTGACCCCGGGCAGTGCCCGAGTGCTCGAATGGTCAGTCCGCCCCTGGTTATTCCTGATTAGGAGCCTTGAAAGTGTAGAAGCCAGAGAAACATCATGACAGCCAAGCATGTAACATTTTCAGCTGATCTGCAATGGAGAGACTTGATCAATAAGAACTATGAATGTTCACCACTAGAGGGAGCCAAGCAAACTGGAAAAAATTGTGTCCTATATTCAGATTCTTCAAGTAATTGTCTTCGGGAAACACGTCCAGGAAAACAATCATGGGGTGTATAACACATGTATTATACATATATACATGCATCATTGTAAAAATACTTATTTTGTTCACTTACATACTCCAATTTTAAAGCACATAAAACCATACACAATGCAGCCTCATACACACCGGGGCCAGGGGTGGACTGACCATTTGGGCACTGCCCAAGGGCCCGGGGTCAGTAGGGGCCCCATGAGATGCCCCTGATACCTTTCATAGGCTCTTTTCCGTGTGGTTTGAGTGTTGGTGAGGACACAGGGGCCCCATGATTTCCTATTTCCCGGTGGCCCCATGAGTTGTCAGTCCGCCCCTGACTGGGGCTTTTGTAAATGCTTTTCTCCTGGTAAGAGAATATCAGCTTTAAAAACACACTTAAGCCCCATTTTTGCAAATGCTTTTAGGCACGCCAAGTGCCTGGCTGTTTATTTATTTCATTGGCTGGAATATTTATTCTGGCCATTGAAATAAAAAAAAAACCTGCTAAATGTGCCTAACGCTTAGGTGCATTCAGAAGCATTTGCACATGTTTAGTTGTGTTTTGGCGTTTTCTGCCAAAACGCTCCTCTCTTGAATGTACAAGTGATTTTTTTTTTCTGCCTCCAAACATCCCCACCTGTAAATGGCTATGTGTGCTGAATACTTAGGCTAACATGAGGGGGGTTTAGAGGCAGACAAAACATGTCAAACGCTTGTAAAGCAGGAACACTTATGAGCTCCATTTAAATGGTGTAATTGGTGGGAATCGAAAGTGCCACCCTGATAGCAATGGGACTACTATTATATATTCCTATATCAAATCCTTCCCATAGAATGTACAGATCTTCAATGATGGTAAGGCCCATGCCTAAAGTGATATTAAAGGCAGGATTTGTTTTTGTTTAACCACTTTCCTACCGGGCACTTTTACCCCCTTCCTGTCCAGGCCAATTTTCAGCTTTCATTGCTGTTGCATTTTGAATGACAATTGCGCGGTCATGAAACATTGTACCCATATTAAATTTTTAGCATTTTTTTTCAGACTAATGGAGCTTTGGTTTGGTGGTATTTAATCACCACTGGGTTTTTATTTTTTGTACTATAAACAAAAAAAAAGCAAGAAATTTGGAAAAAAAAGTTTTTCTTTGTTTCTATTATAAAATTTTACAAACAGGTACATTTTCTCCTTCACTGATGTGCGTTGATGAGGGTGCACTGATAGGCAGCACTGATGGGCACTGATAGGCAGCACTGGTGGGCACTGATGAGGTGGCATGGATAGGCAGCACTGATGGGCACTAATAGGCTGCACTAATGAGGTGGCACTGATGAGGCGGCACTTGTGGGCATTGATAAGAAGGCACTGATGGACACTGATAGGCGGCACTGACTGACAGCACTGACTGGTGGCACTAATGGGCAGCACTGATGGGAACAACTGCTGGGTGGCACTGATAGGTGGCACTGCTAGGCACTGGTGGGTGATTATCAGTACAGATCTGCTCTGTGACATCCTGACAGTGTGAGGAAAGTACGCTGATAACCGGCAACTGTATTTACTTTGTGATCTGCTGTGTCATTGGACACAGCTGATCACATGACTAGGTAAAAGGCCAATCACTGCGGCCTTTTACCTCGTCATGTGATCAGCTGTGTCTCTGAGAGCGACGGGTGTGCGCCACTCCCACAACTGGACAACTGCACTGTAGCAGTCCTTCGGCTATATCGGAGTTGTAAAGTGGTTAAAAATAACCAACGTGCCATGATTTTGCAAAGAGCAGCCCCCAGAATTACCTGCTCGGGTCCCGCGCTGGTGCTCCTGGTCCCAACCTCCTGCCTAGTAACCCCATAGTAAGCAGCTTTCTATGGGGGCACCGAGCAGGCTCACTCCCGAGCCACTGCTCTGTGTGTCCATTCAGGCACAGAGTGCGGCTTTGCCCTGCCCCTGCTCTCTCCTCATTGGCTCACTGGCTGTGACTGACAGTGGAAACCAATGGCTCCAGATGCTGTATCAGCCAGTGTGGAGGGAGAAACCCGGGGGAGGCGAGGTTTTCGTGCACATTACTGGATCAAGATGGGGCTCAGGGGCTGATGAACAAAGAAGGTAAAAAAACATCAAGACTTTACAACCACTTTCTGAATTAAAGCCTTGAATGTCATGGCAGTGATGAGGATCTTCTTTCAAAAATAGTGCCGCAGGTTGGAAGCAAAGGCTGGAATGACTCCATTAGTGGGTATTTAAGGTGAGGGACACAGGCAAATTGTCCTCGTGCCTTCACTGACCTCCACTGGCTAGGAGGGCCCCTGGACAAGTAGAGGGGGAGGTCACAGCCATTCAGAAATGTGCCAGATGATTGCATAAACACGCCAAATACATAACTCTAGACTTGTTCCTCTTATCATACATGGACCACATCCGGGTGCTAGCTACTATATCTCCACTCTTCATCAAAAGATATAAAAGAAAATATCCACACTCCTAACTTAGATCCTTTTGCTGTATTTATTGATTGTGTACAAAGTGACTGTATGCAACATGTTTCCATCTGAAACTAACCCTCCTTGACACGTTTCACCACTCCTGGCTTGCTCACAAGGACAGGGAAATTTCTTCCACTGCACTATTCCCCCTTTTTTTGTGAGCATGCCAAGAGTGATATAATGCATCAAGGAAGGTTGGTTTTTGGGTAGACACATGCTGTGTGCAGTCACTTTGCTGACAGCCAATAAATACAGCAAGAGGAGCTAAGTTTGGAGTGCTGCCAGGCCAGATCCAGCTTGTCTGATGTGGAGGTGCAGTAAAAAATGTCAGAGAATGGGAGATCAGCAGGTTACTGTACAAGGGGTCAGCAGGGCAAAGGATAGGGTCAGCATTATATAGGGCAGTGTACAGAGGCCATTAGTTTGTACAGTGTACAAGAGACAACAGAGCTGAGGACGGACGGTAACTGCTGGCAGGGCAGAGGACAGGGGTCGCTGCTGGCAGGGCAGAGGACAGGGGTCACTGCTGGCAGGGCGGAGGACAGGGGTCACTGCTGGCAGGGCGGAGGACAGGGGTTACTGCTGGCAGGGCGGAGGACAGGGGTCACTGCTGGCAGGGCAAAGGACAGGGGTCACTGCTGGCAGGGCAAAGGACAGGGGTTACTGCTGGCAGGACAGAGGACAGGGGTCATTGCTGGCAGGGCAGAGGACAGGGGTCATTGCTGGCAGGGCAGAGGACAGGGGTCACTGCTGGCAGGGCGGAGGACAGGGGTCACTGCTGGCAGGGCGGAGGATAGGGGTCACTGCTGGCAGGGCAAAGGACTGGGGTCACTGCTGGCAAGGCAAAGGACAGGGGTCACTGCTGGCAGGACAGAGGGCAGGGGTCATTGCTGGCAGGGCAGAGGACAGGGGTCATTGCTGGCAGGGCAGAGGACAGAGGGTGATTGCTGGCAGGGCAGAGGACAGTGTGTCACTGCTGGCAAGGCAGACAACAGGGGGCCACTGCTGGCAGGGAACTCAGCAGAGCTCCTTCTCCCATCTCTGCACTGCACACAGCCTGGGCACAGGCAGCAGAGCTCCTCCTCCAGGGGAGTGGTACGGGTCGGCTTCCTTACCCTGCTGGACCCCCTGCTGAACAGTTTATCAATTTATCCGGGCAGTACAATTACAAAGCTGCAAGGAGAGGGCAGCTGTCTGCAGTATGGTTCAGCAGGCAGGAAGGTAGAGTGTTCAGGGGGGAGGAGTGGGTGGTTGGTTTTGGGGGGGCACAACTAAAATCTGGGGAACATAATCCACCCCAGCTCCCCCCTAGATCTGGCCATGAGTGCAGCTGATATTTTTTTTTCAAGTTATTGCAGAGTGATGGGATTTCCAAATTTGAGATTTGCTGAGCAGAAGTTTTCTCATGAGCCTCTAGGTGAAATTCCTGTATGATATTCAGAATAAGCCACAAGGTGAGAGCCTACCAACAGTAAGTCTTGGAGTTCTATAGCTATTCCTGGGATCCTTTGCAGGCTGGCTGTGCACAGAATGCATCCATCAGCTATCATTTTAAAGTGGAGCTGCGATAAAAGAAATAGGGGAGCCACCATTGCTGTTCAGGCTCTGGGGCCATCCTTTTGCTCCTGAATTTACATCTAAGAGAGTCGTGACCAGGGGCAGACTGACCATTTGGAAACTCGGGCACTGCCCGAGGGCCCAGGGTCAGTAGGGGGCCCCATGAGATGCCCATGGTACCTTTTTCATAGCCTTTTTTGAGTTTGGGCAAGGACACAGGGGCCCATGATCCCCTATTGCCCGGGAGCCCCATGAGTTATCAGTCCGCCCCTGGTCGTGACATATAACAAACTTGGAGGACAGCAGTTAAGACTTTTCAGACTTTGCTAGCTGCATACTTGTTTTAGGTCAGTGACTTAGTAGGAATTGAAGCTAGGAACATGATGACACCCCGAGAGCCTTTACATTAAAAAAATCCAAGTCAGCAATGGGATATCCAATATTTCTATCTTCAAACTTGTACTAAAAAGGTACATGCCAGTCAACAAAGATTTAGCAATCTCAACAAAGCTGTTGTGCTAACAATGACCACTAGATGGAAGTATTGCATCATTTTTATTAAGTTTGCCTCTGCTCTATAGCTGAATCTTACTACTGTACTTCTATAATTATTCATTCTTGGTCAACTTTATACTATTTAATTTAAAATGTTTACTAAATACACAGTGTTGTGTATCTTGATGATTGCATTTTCTTATAAAGATATGCACATCTCTCTCTATTTGTGCATTAGGCAGTATACTCAACCCTGCCAAGTAAATGATGAAATTAAATCAGTTTGCCACAAACAACTTTTCTGGAAGATACTAATTGGAAGGTGCCTGCATTACATGCAGTCTGTCACTTAAAGCAGAATGCTAGCCAAAATCAATACATTTGAAAAGCCAATTAAAAAAATTAAATTACAAAACCAGCTTTTGCTGTAATATTTAAATTATTATAAAATATTCTAAAGTTTTAGATCTGCCAAGAGTTGCACTTCAAAGTGACCCTGCCCAGAGCTTGTACCGGACTTCACCAACTCAATAGTCCCATCACCTGACTCCTAGTGAGACACCTGAGTCAATCCAGAAGTTGCTATTGGATACAGGAAGCTCACTTCTCCATAAATCCATGCTTGTTCTCCTCCCAAGGCCTTGTGGCTTCCAGGCTAGGTCCCTAGGTACCCCATGCCAAACAGTCATTCTCAGTATGTGGAGAACCAGTTGCAAAAGAAGGGGCAAGCATTAAATCTATTCACTACCAGAGTTTCCATCACCCTTGTCATGTCACCCACTTCCTGACTGGTTGGTTGCATAACCACACAACACAAGTATGGTAGCCATTAGCAATGGCAATGCAGTCTCCTTCGTTCAGCTTCTTTGCGCATTAGACTTTTGTACTGTATCTTTTAACTTGTCCCCATAGTAAGCCCTGTTCTTTAGATACGCCATGCATACACCCCTTTAGTGACTTCAGACCAGCCAGATTGACTTAAGAACAAGTTCTTTATTAATGCTTGGTTCACACTGATCCAATGCAGGAATTGCACAGGAATCGTTAGGCTTCCCACTTTGCACCGCATAGCAATTGAATTGTGTTCATGTGATCTGCTGTGGGGGTCAATTAAAAGTTAATGATGCCCAAAAAGCAGTTCACACAATGCAGTCCCTTTGCCTGAATCATATAAACACCCATGATATCTGATTCCAGTGCGGCACAAAAAAGGTGCCTGTACCTTTTCTGTGCAGATGCGGTACGATTTGAGCCATATAAAACTTTGGGCTCAATTTGCACTTCACAGAATTGCATGTGACTTGCACAAGAATGTGGTGCAATTCCTGTGCGAATCACATGTGATGTGGCAGTGTGAACCAGGGCTAAAGTAGTTACATAATACAGATGAACAATTCAATAAGTCATCTTCCCCATATCCTCCTGTACAATTTTTCTAAAGTGCCCTCTGTTGTGCCCCCGGTGCTCAGTCTTGCCCCATGAGATAGTCAAGCCTTAATTTAGGTGTGAAAGTCCTTTAGAGTCCATTATGAAGGTCAGACTCCATACTTTAGTAGCATAAGTTCATATTTTAGCCACATAAGTCCATGACCCTTGGAACCCCGACTGGTCTCCCACAAGGGGCAGTAAAGCAGTAGAGTGGCATCTATATCCTTAACAGGAAGGACCTCCAGGGCCTGATTACTCCCCTTTTAAATGTTTTGACCTGCAGGGAGTGGTACTCTCCTAAAAAAGCACAGGAAAACCTGACCGGCAGAGTTAACCCTTGCCTCTCAGGATTTACCAGCTCAGCAGGGAAACCAGAATTAAGAATATAATGAAATACCATTAGAATACACCGTTTCTGCACAGACATGCTGACCAGGTACACAAGCCCAAGATAATAAGACATATATAAAAAATGGCCACACAATGAGTAGGTGACAACAGCCCTAGAAAAACTGGGAGGGCAGGAAACAAATTTGGCACACTATGTATACCACCTGCCATCACAACATGTGCTGCCCCCTCCTGGTGGGATATTTAGAAGGGCATGGATTTACACGATGGATACTATGGCCCCCCTAGGACTGAATATTGAGTTTGACCTTAATTATTATTATACAGTATTTATATAGCGCTAAAAGGTTTGCTCAGCGCTGTACATTATAGACCTTAATTGTTTTCTTAGTGAATTTTAGGCCCTTGGCTTGCCCCTCTCTCCTTTTTATCCCACCTACTAATCCCCCTTGTTTCTCTCTCCTTTTTATCCATTTTATTAATTCTATTCTATTTTTTATGCATTTTTTATCCTCTGGTTTTTTATTTTATTTATTGCCTGCCCCTTTAAGGCTTAATGTACATGCGGGTTAGTCACTAATTTTTAATGGATTTCTTGTCTTTTATGACTTTTTATGTGAGGTTTATCCTATATTGTTAGGTTCATATTGATATCATGATGTTTCTGAGGATTTATGTCATACTCTGTTTTTTTTTTATTTTTTTGCCCTCTGCCATTTTGAGCCGTTTCTTAGCTGCTTTTTATCACATTCCCTTATTCCATTTATCATATTTGGCCACAGATTACTATATGTTATGTATTTAGTTATATGCCTATTCATTTTAGTGCCTTGAGATAGTCCGTTCTGCTCCTGTTTTCACTGGGCATTTTTTTTCCTCTTTTCTAGAGCTTAGTGTCTGGTAGAAGGATATAGGCTATGTTTTTCTGGAGTCTCTTCTCTGGGACTCCGAGAAAATGGCTGCTGCACTCCGCCCCTGAGTGATTTCAGATGTAGGCTCTGTATTTATGGAGTTCGTTGGTCACCATTCTTCGAGCCCTGAGGAAGTCATGTGACCCGTGACATAACGCGTAGGACGGAAGCGTGGTGCCGCCATATTGGTATTCCCAAAACACCTACAACTTCCCTGCAGTTTTTTACTGCAAGAATTTAGCCTTTTTTGGTCTGCGGACCTATTTTTAATGTGAGTAGTGATCGTTAGATGTTATTTAAAATAAAGTTTGTGACATATTACACTATGGGAGTCTTGTTGCTTGCATCTTCCATGTGAGACATTGTGAATGACAGAGGTCTGCGGCCATTGCTGAAGCATGCTTACGAGTGTTTGCCGGCGCCATTGGAGATCACCTGTTGCTGTCTGATTGTATCGAGGATTTATTTCTTGGAAATCATCGTCTGAGGCTTCCTTTGCTTTGTTACTCCTTGTGGGTCGAATTTTGAAGGTGAGCATGCACGCTAGCTGGTGGAGGATTTGTTCATACATGTTTGCAACACTGGATCTGTCACGGCATGCACTGAAGATTCACTGTGTTTTTTTTCAGATTTTTTTCAGATTTTTTTGGGACTGTCGTTTTCATTATTATATTTATACATATGTATTTTTTGGGACTGAGTCACTTTTTGATGTTTTTTAGATTGAGTCACCTAACAATTATTTTTGATTGATCATTTTGGGGCTGAGTCAACTTTTGTATCTACCAGCCATTGATTTATCCACTTGTGTCACTAGCACTTCTCAGCCGGTTTTCTGTGCCTGGTATTGTCACTTATTATTATTTTTAGGATTGAGTCACTCTTTGTATATATTAGCCGTTGTTTTATTCACCTGTGTCACTAGCACTTCATAGTTGATTCCCTGCAGCTTGTATCGTCACTTGGCATTTTCTGCACCACCTTAAACATCTGTATGTTATGTTCACACCTGGATGAGGGATATATTTATATCTAGTTTATGTCATCCATTTTTTCACATATCAGTCACTTACTAGTGCAGCACCATCACCTTTCATTTATTTTGTCACTATTTTGGAATATGGTTAGGTGCCTGCAGCCACTTTGTTTTTTGGGGTCACTTGGGGTAGGAAAGTAGCGCAGGAGGATCATCTCTATATGGTTATCAGCAGTACTTTCCTCACGCTGTCACAGTGTGAGGAAAGTACTGCCAATAACTGGCAAGTGTATTTA